AGATGTGGTATATATACACAATGGAATACCAGTCAGCTGTAAGAAAGGATGAAATCTGGCAATTTGTGACAACATGGATGGACCCTGAGGGTATTATGCTAAGTAAAATAAGTCAGAGGGAGAAAGTCAAATACCGTATGATCTCACTCATAAGTAGATGATAAAAACAACAAACACATAGCAACGGAGATTGGACTGCTGGTTACCAGAGGGGAAGGGGGGAGGGAGGAGGGTGAAAGAGGCGATTAGGCTCATGTGTGGATTCTAATTAGTTTTTGGGTGGTGAACATGATGTAATCAACACAGAATTCAAAATATATTAACGATATACACCTGAAACAAAAAAAAGCTCATACACTATGATCAAGTGGGATTTGTACCAGGGACACATGGATGGTTCAACATCTGCAAATCAATCAACGATACACCACATTAACAAAATGATGAATAAAATCCACACGATGATCTCAGTAGACGCAGACAGAGCATTTGAAAGATCCAACATCCATTTATGATAAAAACTGTCAATAAAATGGGTATAGAAGAAGAGTACTTCAACATAATAAAGGCCGTATATGACAAACCCATAGCCAACATCATACTCAATGGGGAAAAACTAAAAGCCATCCCTCTGAGAACAGGAACAAGACAAGGGCACCCACTCTTATTCAACATAGTTTTGGAGGTTTTGTCTAGAGCAATTAGGCAAGAAAAAGAAATAAAAGGTATCCAAACAGGCATGAAGAAGTGAAACTCACTGTTTGTAGATGACATGATTTTATATGTAGAAAACTCTAAAGAATCCATTGGAAAACTATTAGAAATAATTAACAGCTACAGCAAGTTGCAGGGTACAAAATCAGCTTACAAAAATCAGTTGCATACCTATACTCTAATAAAGAACTAACAGAAAGAGAACTCAAGGATACAATCCCATTTGTAATTGCAACAAAAGCATAAACTATGTAGGAATAAATTTAACCAAGGAGGTGAAATACATGTACAATGAAAACTGTAAGATATTACTGGAAGAAATTGTTGATGACATAAAGAAATGGAAAATATTCCATGCTCATGGATTGGAAGAATAAACATAGTTAAAATATCCATACTACCTAAAGCAATCTAAAGATTCATTGCAATCCCAATCAGTATAAGAATGCCATTGTTCACAGACATAGAACAAGGAATCCTTAAATTCATATGGGGCATCAAAAGACCCCGAACAGCTAAAGCAATCCTGAGAAAAAAGAACAAAGCTGGAGGCATCACAATCCCTGAATTCAAAATATACTACAAAGCTATAGTAATCAAAACAGCATGGTACTGGTACAAAAATAGGCACACAGATCAATGAAACAGAATTGAAAGCCCAGAAATAAAACCACACATCTATGGACAGCTAATCTTCAACAAATGAGCTAAGAACACACAATGGAGAAAGGAAAGTCACTTCAATAAATGGTGTTGGGAAAACTGGACAGCCAGTGCAAAAGAATGAAGGTTGATCGTTATCTTTCACCACACAGAAAAATAAACTCAAAATGGATCAAGAACTTCAAGGCAAAAACTGAAACCATAAAACTCCTGGAAGAAAATATAGGCAGTATTCTCTTTGATATTGGTCTTAGAAGGATCTTTTCGAATACCATGTCTACTCAGACAAGAGAAACAAAAAATAAACAAGTGGGACTTTATCAGACTAAAGAGCTTCTTCCAGGCAAAGGAAACCAGGATCAAAATGAAAAGACAACCCACCAATTGGGAGAAAATATTTGCAAATCAGATACCTGACAAGGGGTTAATCTCCATAAAATATAAAGAACTCACACAACTGAACTACAAAAAAACAAACAACCCCATCAAAAAATGGGCAGAGGATGTGAACAGACATTTCTCCAAAGAAGATGTACAGATGGCCAATAGGCGCATGAAAAGCTGTTCAACATCACAATCACCAGGGAGATGCAAATCAAAAGTACAATGAGATATCATCTGGTACCCGTTAAAATGGCTATAATCACCAAGACAAATGTTGGGGAGGATGTGGAGATCAGGGAAACCTCATTCACTGCTGACGGGAAGGAAAATTAGTACAGTCACTATGGGAAACAGTATGGAGATTCCTCAAAACATTACGAATGGAAATACCATATGACCCAGCTATCCCACTACTGGGTATCTATCCAAAGAACTTTAAATCAACAATTCAAAGAGATTTATGCACCCCTATGTTCATTGCAGCATTATTCACAATAGCCAAAGTGTGGAAGAAACCCAAGTGCCCACCGACTGATGATTGGATAACGATGTGGTATATACATACGGTAGAATACTACTCAACCACAAAAAAAGACAAAATCATCCCATTCACAACAATGTGGATGGAGCTTGAGGATATTATGTTGAGTGAAATAAGCCAGACAGAGAAAGACAAACACAGTATGATTTCACAATATGTGGAAGATAAACACAGGGACAAAGAGAAGAGGGTAGCAGTTACCAGGGGAAGGGAGTTGGCAGTTGGGCACAAGGGGTGAAGGGGTGCACTTACATGGTGACTGACAAATAATAATGTACAACTGAGATTTCGCAATGTTGTAAACTACTATGACCTCAATTTTAAAAAAAGCAAAGAATATTGGCGTATCTATAGTAATACCAGATGATTTACACTCTAAGAAAAAAGTATATAAGAACAACCATATAACATTAAAATAAAGCAAACCCTCACAGTTATTTAAGAATGTATATATATGCCATAAATGTATAAAAATGACTAATAGACAACATATTTAGGTTACCTAGAGACGGTGGTGATGGGGGTAGAAGTTGTGATTGGAGAATTGTATACAAAATTGGCTTTAACTCTGTGGTAATTTTTTTATTATTCTAAACTGGGTGGTGGGTACATGGGTACTTGAAATAATTTCATCATATATGTTCCACCTTGAAAATAGTTCATAGCAATAAAAACCATCTCTTCCAAATCTTATTACATGTAACTTTCAATGCAGCAGAGCTGCCCAAGACAAGATACGTGAAGGTTTAGGGCAGAGAGCCCCTGGGGAAGAAAAGCACTATTGATGGGCAAGACAGTTTCATGAGGTTTTGAGGCACCCTCTTTGGGAAGGTAAGAGTATTCTTGATTTAGCAAGATACTCAGATAAACAAGTTACCTAAGCTCCATTTCATCCTCTGGGAAATGTGTGTGGATGTAACAACTCTCTTGCAAGGGAACTGTGAGTCTTAAATGAAACAATGAGAATAAGTAAAGTACTTGCTACATAGTAGGTGTTCCATGAACTGCATCAACATCTTTCTGGAAATGAGGCAGAATAGAACTAGGGAGATGGACTGAAAGAGAAAGGAGGTACTGTTTACTTCCCAAACTCCCCAGGCAAGCAGGGCCCTGCCTCCTGGCTGTGCATACTGCTATCACAGCACTGGCTCTGTTCTGTGTGTAAATTCTGCCTCCCACACACAGGGAATGCTGCACCCTATTCATCTTTGCATTACCTGTCGCCTCCAGCACTGCATCTGTGCATAATAGACACTCAGTCATCATCTGGAGAAGGCTGGAAACACACTGCTGTTTTTGAAAGTGAATATAGACAAATCACAGAAACACTGCAAATATTTGAGTCAGTTTCGGCTCTCTACCTGGGAGCTAGCAAGACCATAAACAAGGATAATGTTTACTAACACTACTATACGTAAACAGCTCGATTTCTTGTTGGATATCCACAATTGACAACAGTGATGATTTACTAAACGTGTTCTTTCCACTTTACAAATACTTCACGTCAGTACTTCTGTTTATGTCACTCAGATGAGTAATATAAGACAAAATTGACCTAAAGTTGGATGACGTAAGATGAAACCTTCTCCGTTAATTTCATACATGTTTCTAAAGAAAACTCAAACAGGCCATTCATTGTTCTTTCCTGCTTATTTCCTCCCCAGCAGTGGGCAGCTGGAGGGTGGGAATTAGGGATTTTACAAAACTCCAGGTAGTGGTGCCAACCACTGATCTCCTGGAGTTTATTCTCGGAGCAGGGAGCGCTCTCACTGACGGCCACTCCAGAGGGCAGAGAGATGAACGGTACTGACAGCCAGGGAGGCCCGGCACCGCTTCGCCTCCCCGCCCAGGGCGCACTGGCGCGCTCAGCCTCCCCGGCCCGCTGCGCTGCTGCTGCATCGGGCAGCTGCCGCCTTCGCTGGGCGCAGGCAGATGCGCAGCTTGCAGAGAGCGCGCGGGTGATGCTAGCAAGGAGGTAGGCGGCGACCCATCCCATTAGGATTTGTCCAGTCTCCGCGCACGCTGTGACTTCCGGGGGAGAAGCGGGGCGGGGGCCCAGGGGACACAGATTTTAGCTACGCTTAGTCCTCACCACGACTCAGTTGCAAGAGAGGTCCCGAGCACCGCCCCTGCCGACCACAGACAAACACAGAAAGAGCGCTCACCCTGTTGACGGCTTGGCATCCCTGCAAAAACTAGAAGGTGGAGACGGAGGCGCCGGCCGGTTGGCAGACACGGGGAGCCCTCTGCACGAACCGCGCCGTGCGCTGCTGCGCCAGGCAGAGCTCGGTGAGCGCCGCGGGAAGGGAGTGGCTCAGAGCAACAGGTGCAGCCCGAAGCCACTCCTGGAGCACGGGAAACGGCCAGCAAGGATCTGGAGACGGTAAGGCGCAGAGAGGGCTCTTTCCACCTCCACGACTGCACCGGCGGGTCCCTCTTCCCCGGCTCGGTGGCCGCGCGGCGGGCAGTGGTGCCTGGGCAGGGGGACCCCTGTGCTCCCGGGACTGCCGTCCCCGCCCGGGAAAGTCCAGCTCGGGGCCCCTGCCCGCGTCCTTTCTCCCGACAGCCCCGCACGAAGACAGTGCCACTAGCACGGCCGCCCGGGCGCGTGCCCATCGAGGAGGCTCAGGCTCGAGAACTCGCGCTCCGCGTGCTCGGCGCTGGGATCCCGGGTGCTCTCCACTTCCCCACGGCGCCCTCTTTCCCTGGCAAGCACCCCTCGCTATGGAGCTAGCGGCCGGGAACCTCAGCGAGGGGAACGCGAGCGAGCCCGAGGCCCCCACCGCAGAGCCGAGGCCGCTCTTCGGCATCGGCGTCGAGAACTTCATCACGCTGGTGGTGTTCGGCCTGATCTTCGCACTCGGCGTGCTGGGCAACAGTCTGGTGATCACCGTGCTGGCGCGCAGCAAGCCCGGCAAGCCACGCAGCACCACCAACCTGTTCATCCTCAACCTGAGCATCGCCGACCTGGCCTACCTGCTCTTCTGCATCCCCTTCCAGGCCACGGTGTACGCACTGCCCACCTGGGTGCTGGGCGCCTTCATCTGCAAGTTCATCCACTACTTCTTCACCGTCTCCATGCTGGTCAGCATCTTCACTCTGGCCGCGATGTCGGTGGACCGCTACGTGGCCATCGTGCACTCGCGGCGCTCCTCCTCCCTGCGGGTGTCCCGCAACGCGCTGCTGGGCTTGGGCTTCATCTGGGCGCTGTCCATCGCCATGGCCTCGCCGGTGGCATACCACCAGCGCCTCTTCCACCGGGACGTCAGCAACCAGACCTTCTGCTGGGAGCAGTGGCCCAACCAGCGCCACAAGAAGGCCTACGTGGTGTGCACCTTCGTTTTCGGCTACCTGCTGCCGCTGCTGCTCATTTGTTTCTGCTATGCCAAGGTGGGGGCGCGGGGCCGGGACGCGCGGGGGAGGGCGGCGGGCGCTGAGGGCCCGGTGGTGGTCCGGTGTGTCCCCGCGCCCTTTGGCCCTCAGCCCTGCAGTTTTCGGGTAGATTGGCGTGGGGCACCTTCTCCCCGGCAGTTTGCCCTCGCCTCTGCGTGGGCTTGTCCGTTGCAAGTGGCTGAGAAAGTTACTTGGGGTTTGGGAGACGCTGGGGAAAGTTTGCAGTTCACTTCCCGAACGTCCCGCCTGCCCTCCCCTTCCCGGCCCCCGCAGCCCGTAGCCCCGAGGTGTCCTTGCAGCGGGCAGGCGCTCAAACGCCTCCTTCTTAGTGGAGGAAAACTGCTCTGTTTCAGCAACTCAGCGCCCGCGGGATGAAATGAACTTGGCGAGACTGCAGAAGCGCCGCGAGCGCCTGGGCGGTCTGAGCGTGCGGCCTCTCAGGGGTGGCGGCCCGGTACCCCGCCCCCAGTCCTCGGCTGGGACGTGAAGGGGTGACTCCCGTGCGGCCTCTGCCCGCGGGGCACGCGGGGCGGCTCTGTGAGGACCTGGCTCTGGGAAGCCGCTGCCCCTGGCGACAGAACTTCGAATTTTATTTCATGCGCCAGTTTAGCCTTATAAACCCAAGTGTTAAAATAGCATTTCTTCAAAGTCTTGACTCCAGAGATTTTCCAGAAATTCTCCAGAGAATTTCGGATGGGTGGTTTTCCAGCTGCTACGTTCCCCCGGGTTCAGTCCTTTTTAAAAGGTCGTGTAAACAATCTTAAGGGAGGTCTAACAGGTGTCAGGTCTAAAACTCCAACTCTAGAGAGACGCACTGTTGACACAGAGCCGGTCCAGCTGCACCACCCGTTTATTGGGAGATTGTTCTCATCCTCCTTTATGTAGCCTGACAGAGCTCAGCGAACTCACATTGTTTCATTAATAACTCAAGGTTTTGAAGATTTTATACTCATCAAAAAGTCTTAAACCTCTTGATGCAACTTGTTACGTTTAAGAGTATATGCTTAATAATCATGGGCTAGTGACTCATGGGGTCTAGTCCAGCATCCCCAACACACTCCTCAGAATACCATCAGCATTAGAAAAACACCTCTGTAACCAGATTCCGAAATTCGCACCATTTTATCCTCATGTCTCTCCCCTTATTCCTGGGAAGGCTGCGACTGCAGGACCATGACCATGAATAACCAGATGAAGCAGAACAGTAATTTCTTATATCCAATTCATAAACTATTTTTCCCAGCAAAAAAGTTTCACATAAGCCACTTGGTTTTTGTTTTTCCCCTCCTCCTCTATCATCTGTGTAGAGTGATGTCTGTTTTGAATGGTAATCATTTTGCATATTATCTGAAAGAATGGCTTGCATCCAGGGGTTATGTATAAAGAGAGAGAGATGGAGAATTTGGATAAGAACTCTAGCTCGGCTCTTTGGTAAAGAGCTGGTTTATCCACTTAGTCTTCCACAAATGCAGAACAGAGGCTGGTGCTACGCAGCACAGGGATCTGATACGAGTGCCGTCTCACTTAATCTGCATGATAACCTATGGTTGGAGCTATTGTTCCTGTTTTATCCATAAGGAGAAAGGGTTTCAGGGGAGTGAAGCAACTGACCCAGGTTATGAAGCTGCTAAGTGGTTCAGGAAGGATTTTAATGCAGGAATTCCCCGTCCCTGAGGGAGGGGACAGGTGCCGAGAGCCTTGAGGACATGAAGCATGGGACTAGACGCATTCTTAAAAGACTTGGCTTTTAATTCATAATTACCCAAATTAGAACTGAAACATACTCTGCCTTCATTTCCCAAAAATCTTTAGCGAAAATAATTTAGGTCTTCATAAGGAAAACGACAAGGTAAACTTTTAAGAATAAATTAGGCTACATTTCTGTCATTTGGGAGTTTATAAAAATCAGATGTAGGGCAAAGTTTTAAAATCTTTTTAAAAATTCAATAAATACATGATCGCCGGGATTTTTTTATATGGAAATAGTTTGCTTCTAAGAATAGCTGGAAATTTCTTTTGAATTCAAGGTAATATTTGTAAATTAATTCCAATCTTGAATAGGTAAAGATAACAAGGTATTTCAAATTGCTTTCCGTTGGTTCACTTACTAAGTGTATGCTGTCCAGTTAAGGATTTTGATACTTGAATCTTAGGTTCAGAACTTCCATCACTCTTGACATGCCTACCCACCAAGTTCCTCCACATCCCCAGAGATATCTGATGCTCAAGGTGACCTTTGCTCAGGTTTGAGTGTGTGCCTTCCTACACGCACTCCTAAAAGCTCAGAAGGATGGAGAAATGCTGCCAGGTCATCATCAACTTTAAAATAAATATAATCATAATTCTTCACGATACCTGCACTTTTTCTCCTTTGATGACAAGAACTTCATGGAGATGCATCATGATATATTAATACATGCTCTTAGTGTAGGCTGTTGAAGTGAAACAGAGCTAAGAAAACACACTGGGGTATTTTGTTCATTGACCACTCAACAAGGTTCCTTAGGCATTTTGAAGTTTCTGAACTGTGACCCAGCTGGGTTTGTTGAAGGAATGAATAGAGCCCTGGGCACCATTATGAAGCAGATAACATTTTGACTTTTCTGTTCTGACCTCCTTTCCAGGGGTCCCTCTCTGATTTTGTTTTACAGCCTCTCCTCTGTTCTCTCCTCTGTCCCTTGTCCTCTGTGACCAGAGTCCTCCTGTGGTCTCCTACTGGGAAGGCTGCCACCAAGGAACTGAACGAGGCCTGTCCTCTCCTGGCAGGGTCCTTCTTCCAGCTCTTTCCTTTCCCCTTGAAAGACTTTCTCATCTGCTCCTGCAGAAACTCCTATCTTTGCCTTACATTTAGTTTTTGGTACCCCAATTTCTGCTGACAGGACAGTAAACTAACCCATTGTCAACGTATTGAGAGTGATCCCAAATTCAACGTAGCAAGTGAAAGGCTTGTCTTGTAGATGTTACTCAGCCTCTGTAGGAAGCGAGAAGTATTTTAGTAGGGCTGGGAATTTGGAGCCAGAAATTCCTACCCTAATGATGTCTGCTCAAACTGTGTGGGACTCGTAAGGTCGATAAATAAATCCTGTGGTTTCTCCATTAAGGTGTGACTGATTTCTCCGGAAGTGCTGCATCTAGCTAAGTGGAGCAGGTTTGCAATACGTCCAATTCGATTACGTTATTTCCATGCTGTGGTGCTAGAGGGAAACAAGGAAGTGTCTGCAGTGTGGCTTCCAGTTCTGAGAGACTCGCGGGGCAAGCTATAGACACCCCCGAATCCGTTAGTCATCCAGAGGCGAATCTCCCCTATCCTTTCCTATCCTCAGAGAGGATACAAAAACGTACTCAAGTGCCAGTCTGCAGGCTTGGTTGGCCCTGTGACATAAGACCAAGCTTATGTTGTAAATTTTTATCTGTAACCCAAATGTTTCACATCGTTTCTCTTGAGTAGGACACTGGCAAGAGAAGACAAAAACAGTTTCTCTAGTGAATGAAGACAGCGTCCCTCAAGGAGACTCCCTGACAGGCACATTAGTTGTAAAACCTTGCTAAACAGTCTATGAATCATGAGTGACACTGCATCCCCAGATGTAAGTCATCTGAAGCACAGCCCAGGGGGAACAGTTAGAACAAGGAATGGAGGGAGGCCTGACCAGCGGAGGTTTGCTTGAAGGAGACTTGTAGCAGAGACGGCCCATGAAGGGAACACAGGTTTACCTTGGAGCAAATGCTGGCCACACGGGAGAGCCGTCTGATTATATCTCCTTTATTTCCTCGCTTGCTCTCCACATTGGATGGTGCACGGCAGGGAAGTCTCTAGTTTTTCCACATATCTAGGAGTTAACATCTTGTTCCACATGTAGCAGGGACCTGGTGATTGATAAAATGTAGACTCTTGGGGGAAACCAAGGTGGAAGGTAGACCCACACAATGTATATATGGATAGCGGTGTGGCTTTCTGGACAAAACCCCAGAGCTATGTGCACCAGAACTCTCTGCACACACAAGCTGTGACAGCCACCCGCACCGGGATTTGCCTCACTGTTAGGAAAATAGAGGCAGTGGGCAATTCATATTCATTGTTACTTTATCACGTTATGTGTATTTCAATTTGAATGATTTTCTAAATAATGGTATCACCATTTTAGAATGTCAAGAAGTGTCAATGCAAAATAGACAATGAATTGTGGGGTATGAGGCAAACCGATTTTACTAGTCTGTGTTTTTCAGGTCCTTAATCATTTGCATAAAAAGTTGAAGAACATGTCAAAGAAGTCAGAAGCATCGAAGAAAAAGGTAATACGCACAAATTTATGTTACATAAGCCACTTTTCCAAGCTTAGTTTATTTTTCTTCTTAATTATCCTCACATTTCCCAATGCCTGTAAACTTGAGGTTCCTTGGCACAGATGTTTGAAATGAACCTCTTACCATCAGGCCTAGGGGGATGGAGAGCAGCTCTGGTGGGAGCCCCGCAGATGACCGCATGCTGCAGAAAAGCGCAGCTGGGACGTGGGGAGGGGAGGAAACGCGTTTCTGAATTCTGGCCTCTTGGGAGGCGTGTTCCAGGTCGACTGGGACAGTGGGCAGTTGCTGACATCCATAATTTGCATGAAAATTAATAATTTTATTGCATATTTACCACTTCTGATGTGACTCTGGAAGCCTGATTTAATTCTCGGCCGAGAGGGCGTTGTTAGGATCTCTCGCTAAAGCCCCCGGAGCGGGTGCGCCGTCCGTCCGCCCTCCGCCGGCACTGGTGCTCCCGTCGCCCAGAGGGCAGAGAATTACAGAGGGAAGGAGGCCTCAAGGGGAGTTCTACCCGTTTTCAGTTCTTTCTCATCAATTCCTGATTTAAACAAGCTCCTCCTGAGTAATATTAAAGCATCCTTCTATTTATTACATTTCACATTTTGAGGAAAAACTGTTTTATGAATCAGGATTAATTTAACCCTTACTTGGATAGTGCCTGTATAATTAATGATTTCAGAAGGTAGAATGAAAGTAGCATGAGATGACTAGACCATATGATTAGGAAGGAGGAGAGTATAATTAGGCATTTTACCATAAATATTAGTCATAGCATCTTAAAAATATCTTGTTTTTCTTTCTAAATATTTATTATGATCGGTGACATAATTTTCAGAAATTATAGTTTAGATAATCATATTTATTTGAAAAATCCTACTTAAAAGCACAGATCTTCCTGACTTTCCATGTTTATAAACAATAATGTGGCAAAAAACACATCTGTTCCCAGAATCAACGAAAGGCAGTAGTAGACAGTTGATTAAAAAGCACAAAATTTAGCTTGTATTATTTAAAACCATCCTTGAGCTCTCAGGACGACCACCGAGGAATAACAGGTGTGGCATAAATGACGAGACTGTCTCACGGTTGCGTGTCACTGATCGTCCTTACATCTGCACGGTTATTATGTAGGTTTTATTTTAAGCTCCTGGATCCCTCTTTACAACAGCTGGCGAAGTGTTAGGCTGTATGAGTGGAATGAGCCCTAAAAGCTGCTCTTTTCCTGTTTTCCATGATGTGTTGTTATGCTGGAGTTTTCCCAATTTTTTAGTGTAACACTTAATTTTTCCTTTGAGCCACACTTCTCATCTCCAAGAAAATGATTCATTAAAAGCAATTAGGGCCTGTTTGTAATTTCCCCCAGACAGTTATTTAGAGAGCACGTGCCCCACACAGGAAGGGCTGACCTGGGGAATCTAAGAGGAGCTGGCTCCTCACAGAAGCTGACCCGGGAATGGAAGCGTTCTTCACCATCGAGAGCATTTGGAGTCGGGGAGGAAGAGGTTAACAGCCTTAAGGAGGGAGAGGCTTGCTGGACACTTACAGAGGTGATGCCCTTGATAGAAGGCTTATTGGTGCAAAAGATCTTGTGCTCATGCAAGGAGCCAAATAAGACATCTCTTTCCCATTGGCTGGATCTTACTTGCATGCAAGCATTAGTTTTAGTCCCTGTATTTGAAAAGTGTTGCAGAATAATTGTGAAAGTTCCAGAGGATAAAGTGATTAAAAGAATGAAAATAGGTCTTATCAGAAATGATTAGAAAAGCTTCTGTTTTATCTTACAATAAAATGGTCTAAAGATTAGTGATTAGTTTAGCAATTACTTTGTTTAATGTGTGTGTATGCATGTAAGTACATATGTATGTGTCTATATGTACATGTGTGTATGTATGTACATGTGTGTGTGCATGTTATATGTGTGTGCATAAATGTAATTCTTACCAAGGGAGAAGGGCTTAACATTTGAAGGGGGGAAGATTTTATCGTCCATTCTTACAGCCTCTGGCCCTTAGTAGCCACAGAACAGATGTCAGGTCTCTTTTAATATATTTAATTGCTTCCTTGTTTGCATAGAACAAATAAAGCATGGTGCTGGTGTGTGTGTGTGTGTGTGCACGTGTGTGTGTGTATGTGCATCTAAGAAAGAGAGAGCAGAGTGTTGCAGGGGAGGGGTAAAAAGGGGGAGTGGGATGAGCGAGGAGAAGAAGTGGAGAGGAGACGGCAAAGAGATGGGAGACAGCAGAGGGACAGCAGAGAGAGATCTGGACTAGAACAGAAAGCGAGACCACGTTGTTGATTCCTGAAAGCAGGAAGGGATGGCTCATTGCCGGTGTTCCCTGGGTCTCAGCACAGGAAAGTATAACTGGCACGTGTCCGTGTTCCCTTTTTGGTGCATAATGGATCAATGTGATATAGATTTTGATAGTTTTCTCATTTAAATTTCACTTGTTTCCAGCTCCTCCTCTCAATGGCAAAGTAGAATTCCCCTTCTCTGTGCTACATCCATCTACACAGGGACTTCTTGTTAGGGTTTATAATAATCATGGGGCAGAGAGTGAGGGCTTTCGTGATAAAGATGCTGAGCCGTTATTCTGCATGCTTGGAGGAAAATACAAAAGGCTGATTTCTATTGCAGAAAAGTAGTAATAGTAGTCTAGGGCCCTGTGATTGATTAAATGCTTTGCTCGAATTCTGCCAGATACAAAGACGTGTTTTCTGGCACGAGGTTGATCAGACTCTGAAACAAGATTCTTAAATAATCTCAAGAAGACTTCAGACAGAGATAGACATCCGTGTTGGGGGCACATCCAGGAGGAAATGGACGAGAGGACCTCTGGGTACCCGCTCCTCTGCTGGGTTCTTTTAAAAGTTGCTTCTTTTTTTTCTCCCTCTCTGACCTGAAGTAATTCAGTAAGCTTTTTGGCTGTCATTTATACAATTTATGAAACGTTTTTCATCATTCTCATCTTTTAGTCACTTTTTTCTTCCCAGCCATGTTCCATTAGACATACTGTGAGCAAAAATTTTGAAGAAAAAACAGATGTCTCAGATGACTTGAAAAAGATCATCTCACAGGAAGAAGAGAGATTATTTTTCAGATACTTTCAGCCTAAAAAGGAAAAAGAAATGAAACTAATAAAGAGCCCAGTCTCAAGTATCATAAAAATTAGTATAGAGATTGAGGACATAATTTTAAATGATGACTTTTTTTCTCTGTCAAAAGATAAGATCGTGATTCCGTAGGCTACATGGACAAAGGGGGTCAGCAGTAGATGCACTGGGTACAACTCCGTCTCTGATTGAGGCAAATGATACTATAAGAAATGAAACAAAATCAGCCTTGCTCTCTCCAGATGGGAGTTCTGTCCTTACATTCTGACGTTTCAAAGGGAGAGAGAGGAAGCAGCTTTTCTGAGTCTTTCTGAGGGAAAGATGTGGATCAGCCTTAGGGTCCATTGATACGGAGGAGATACCATTGCCTTTAACTTGAGCTGGGTGAGATAATTCGCTTTTGTTGTGGGTTTTATGTAATCCATCAGTGGTTCTTCAAACACTTGCCTAAGCTGTTCTGAAAGGCAGATTCCTGGGTGCGTATCTGATACTCTCTGCCAGCTGAGCGGAGCCATGGGGGATGAGGCCTAGAACTCTGAATTTTTAAACAAGCGGCGCCCTGGGTAATGGTAACGATGAGCACACTGACTTGCTTAAACCCCAGGTTTGGGATTAGTGCAATGTGTTAGTTTGACCAGATCTTTAACTTGGAGCCAGCGTATTCTGGGCACGTGGTTTTCTGAACTGGGCATGGGGAGCAGTGGTGAATGTAGGAGGATGCTGTTCTGTCCCAATGGACTTCTTTCCTGCGTGCCCCCTCCCCCGTCTTCTCAGTTCCCTGGGCCTGGAGGCCTACAAGCAGCTGTTCAAGGGAGACAGAAGAAGAAAATCTTCTACTGTTTCCAACTCTGCACATGGACACATTCATCTAACTTGATGTCACCATGGCTGGCTTGGTGTCAGCACAAGGACTGCAGCACTGAGTGCTAGAGCCCCAGTGCAGAGCACTGACCGTGTACCAGCTGAGAGGACACAGCTATGACGGACTGAGGTGCCAGATGAAAGAGGGAGAAGATGGTTAATCCCTGAAGATATCTTGCTGGGAGCACAGTCAGGGCTGAGAAACATCATATTAAACTCTTTGGGGAACAGCCTTAGATAAATGACATAGTTTATGTAAGTGCCCATTAAGTATTCTTTCCCAATATTTATATCGTAAATTGTAATCCAGTCACCTTACAAAGTTACGGGTAGACCAAGAAAAAGAACCTTGCTCATGGTTCTGAGAAGACCAGTGGGATTACTAAAAATAAAAGGTAAATTTTGAATGAACGGCAAACACACATAGCTAACACACACGCCATAGGAAACATGGCATATTCACGCACACTGCCACTGGCCCTACGGATCCTGATACGGCATGGATCTTAGGAGTAAGCTGCTGGGGTCTATTTCTGCCCTAAGCTTGGTACTTAGGAAGAACCTCCTAAACGAAGCAATGAAATGGAATACCCAGAGGGCATTCTTTTTGTGAAGTAGAGAGATGTTCATGTTATCTTAGAATGGAAAGATGAGGTTTTCTGTTCTATTTGAAGGTGTCATCATGTCTAGATTGCTCTGATGAGATCATCTGGGAATGGCGTCTCCGTGCACTAATGGAATGGCCGTGCAGTAATGGTTGATAGCAGGCATTCCCTTAATATATGGGAGCAAGTCACACGTTTGCTCTATGTGTTGTGCACTGTGAGCAGTTGATGTGTGTGCTCTTGCACCCTATACAAACCTGCCATCAGGGTTATACCTGAGTCGTTGTAAGTGTTTAAAGGGACGAGGCACAGTGAGGGAACCATTCCATTGGGTCATCCTCTCCACAGGAGAGGGGGTCCAGGCCCAGGGAGGTTACCTCACTTTCCAAAGGTCGTCCAACTGTTTATGGCTAATGTCAGTGCTGGGCCTTTGCACAATCCATGGTGCCTTTTGATGGTGAGCTTAACTCTCACCTCCTGGCCCTCCTGAGCACTGCCTTTGTTCTGACTTTGACCTGAAATCCGACTGTCTCTACCATCTCTGCCTCCCCCTGGTTAGAAACTCCCCGGCTTCCAGCCCATCTCTTCGACAGACTTGTACTTGTGTCTGCTGCTGCCTAGCATTGGTCCTTTCTGAGCTGGGCTCTTCCTCGTTATATTCTGGGCGTCCTTTCCTACATTCGTAGGAAGTGATGGAAAAGTCGTGTTGTCATGCGGGAATACCCCCAGAGGCAGCGTGGTGGGGTGACTGCTCCCCGCCCACCAGCGTTGCTGCGGGGGGTAAGGTCTGCGTTTTCCGTTTGGAAAAGTTTGTGGTGACGCAGTGATTTCTTAGTCATGAAATCTCTCTCCTGTGTCTTACTCTCCCTCAGTGTGAAGTCATGAGAAAAAGAAGCCTCCATGTGTTGTTTCTTCTTCTTCCTTCTCTTCTCTCCTCCTGGCCCCCTTCCTCTTGTTCATGGATGTTAGTCAGGATTATTTCTGTGTAGAAGGGAGCAGAGCCCGGCAGCCCCCAGGTAAAGCTTGGATTCCCCTCCAGCGTCGTGACTAAGAGGTCAGGGAAGACCCGTGCCTTGCACTTGCCTGGTCTGGGATGTGCTGTGACACCCAGGGGTCCCAGCTTTCACGTTTCCGCTCCACAAATTGAGCAGACTTTTAAAATGTCACTACCTGGACCAAACCTGACAAAGAACAGAGGTGACCTGATTCCTAACCTACAGGCCAGGGCCTCTCGTGGTCTTCATGTCCCGTTTTCCTCGGAGGAGTAAACTCCCTGGTGGGGTGAACTGGGGAGCTGAGGCCGTCGTACACAGGGGCCAGGAAACGTCCTCCTGTGATTCAGTTAGAGAGCTGGGACGCCCGCTGTCTTCTGGGGCTGGTACTGCCCGTGTAACTGCCACGACGCTGTGCTGTACAGGCAGCCCGGGGTGCGAGTGGAGCGGGAGATGCAGTTCATGGGGACCGGGCAGATGCTGTAGGCTGTTCTCCCCTGTGTCTGAGCCGTGCGTAGCTGGGTTTGGGATCACGTAGAGCTGCTCCTGGCTCTAACTTTGCCTTCAGCTGTGGGACGCTCGGCACTTGTCTTACCCTTCTAAGTCTCAGTTTCCCCATCTGCAACCCACGGATCATTACAGGGTCTGATTCACGGGGTAGTTGGGGGACTAAATGAAAACTGCACACAGCCAGCAGTCATCAGTGTCGGTTCTCAGTGCCACCCACCACTGCCCTGGCTCTGCTGTAGCCATCGGGCAGTCGAGTGCCTGTTTGGCTTCCTGAGCTGTGCTTATTGAAGTAGGGTAACCTTGTAAGAAAAAGCAATCAGCTGATTGCCTTGTATTTATTATTTAAAAAATATTAAACTCCTTTCATTAAGGCGTTTTAATAAAATAGGCCACGGTCTTTTGTTGGACTCCGTGGAGATAGAGTTTTCAATTAAGCACAACGTTAGCTTCCTAGTTGTTGCCTTTCAACACGTACTGAGCCAGCGACGTTGAAACACAGGAGAAGTGCCTGAAGGCCTTGTCTCAGCCCTTGGGGTTTGCAGCCCATTGGGGAGGTGGTGTGTGTGCACACAAAGCAGGCTGCAGACGGGGAAGCAGGGGGTGGCATAGGGCACGAAGCATGGCCCACAGGAGGTAAGGCTCCTCTTGCGTTGAGGGAAGACTTTCTCCAGTCATCAGCTCAGCAGAAATCTCAAAGGAAGCACATGGACGCTGTGTCTGATTTCCAAGCATTTCTGCTTTCAGAGCAGCAAGGGAAGGTTAGCATGCAGGCAAACACACAGGACTGCTCAGGCCTTCGACGGAGACTGAGGTGCGCGCCAGTGCATTTGGGAAGCCATGTGTGGCGGTCTTTAACTTGCCAAAATTTAACGAGGAGAAATAAGCATCCTCACCTGGCTGCTGAGGCAGCTCACTGGTGGCAGTCTCACTGCGCGCCAAGCTGCAGAGCGTCGTAGGCGTTCAAGTGACAGTGCTCAATCTGCACGTTTCTATTCCGTGATTCAAAGCACGCTCCCATCATCCACCTGTGTTTCACACGTGTGGTAAAATTATTCCTACGGAAGTTGGTGGCAGGTCTTGAAGAAGTTTTGAACAAAATTGTTACACAAAGTAAAGGTTAACGCTTAAAGCAGATTTAGCATCTACTTGGTGCCATGAAAGATACATAAAATTGTCTTAGGGCGTGTTTTAAAAGGCCGTACTCTTTTTCTGTTGTAACCCATGCCTTTCCTCTCTTGTCGTCTTCTTCTAGACGGCGCAGACGGTTCTGGTGGTGGTGGTGGTTTTTGGGATATCCTGGCTGCCGCACCATGTCATCCACCTCTGGGCTGAGTTTGGAGTCTTCCCACTGACCCCTGCTTCCTTCTTCTTCAGAATCACGGCCCACTGCCTGGCGTACAGTAATTCCTCGGTGAATCCCATCATATATGCATTTCTCTCTGAAAATTTCAGGAAGGCCTACAAGCAAGTGTTCAAGTGCCACATTCGCAATGAATCTTCTCTCAATGATAATAAAGAAAATAAAAGTCGAATGGACACCCCACCATCAACCAACTGTACTCATGTGTGAGAAGGGTACAGTGAAATACTTTATTGTGGAGTTCCCGTGGATGTGGATCAGACACACACAATGAGGTGATACGCAAGGCTGCGACTTGTTAGCCTAACAATGATTCATATTATTTTAATTAAATTCCACTTGTGTTTAAGAGTACTTTGATCCATTTATGAAATCCCTAGGTCTAGTGAAGATTATTTCTAAATTTTATTTTATTTCTAAATTATATTTCAAAGACAAAAGAAAATACTATATAGTTTTATACTCTACAGAAATGAACGTTTCATAGAATTCCACAGGCATGTTCAATTCTTCGTTCAGTAAGGAAAAAGGACCTATAAATATGGTCAGAAATACTTGCGATCTACATTCTGAAACAAATTTATTTAGAAAAAGCATTTATGCATTAGTTCTTCAATTTCAAGAAAAGGAGTACTATTATAAGCTATATGTTTTAGAATATGATTGTGGACACACAAAGTTTTCCCTGAATTTTATTTTTGTGGCTATTTATGCAGAGATATCTATTAACTGAAAACACAACTCTGCTAAGTTCCTTTGCACAGGGCACACTTCCTCCCAGTTGTGAACAGTGTACAGGCTTCAGCGGGTGTGCGGCGTCCAGGTGTGATGGTGAGGTCTGCGATGTTTGTCTCAGGAGGCCAACGCAGTGTTGCAGCAGTGGCTCCAGGGCATTAGTTGTTGGAGCTGTCGATTAGAAACCGTCCTGTGAGCTCAGGCTTTGTAGAGTTGACTAAAAAAAATCAGGAAGCAGTGCCAAGTGCAACTCGTCTAGTAGCAGAAGCTGTGAATGAGGCTTTGAGAAAGAAACTGGGCATTAAAATTGCTTATCTACTTGGTCAAGGTATTAGCTATGCATTGGATGGAACTTATCCAAAAGAGAGATTAAAAAAAAAAATCAGTGAAGGTAGACGTCGATGGTCAATGTGTAGATGATCATTTCTATGGGGCCAAAGACTAGTCAGAATTCAGGAAGTCATGTGGCACACAAGGAAAGCACTAAACATTTGATTCAGATGTTTGAAGAAAACAAATCTTGTGAATGGATATATCTAGAGATATCTTATCTTGTAAACAAGTGCTTTTTTCATTAAATCTGTAATGCTGTGTAATGCACATTTACCCCAAATAATATTCTCTCTGAAAGTGTTAATTTTGGGTTAAAATCATCACAACTTGAGTTTCAAATGTAGTTTTCATGACAATCTCATATTTATTCATGTTTACAAGGAGAAAATGGTGTGAAAAGATTAAATTATCCTATACTGGAAAATAATTTCCAGACTGCAAGACTTTGCTATATTTTAGAAGGATACAAAAGCAAGATCTTGAAGAAAAGGATTTTGTGTAATGTACAGCTGTGTCAAATCAGGACTCCATATGAAATATCAAATTTTAAATCAACAAACAAACTCACTGTAAGTCTTTGCATGTTAAATTCTCTGGCTCATCACTTATTTTCACTGATGATATTCCTTCACCAAACAGTGTTTACATTTGCGATGGTATAAATAGCTCTCTGGACAGAATAGGAGAAAATTGTTAGAGAGGATGGGAAGTCATGAGCTTTCACGTTTTGTGGCTGAGGAAAGAAGTGGTGTATATATATATGTGAATATTTTAAAGAACAGCGTAAGTCTTTTGCACAGAAATTTTCTGCACGTTATTCAAATAGAGCAGCAGAAACATTTTATCCTGTCAATGATACCTCATGTGCTTTGTGGAATGCGAAGTTGCCATCCCCGACCCCAGAATGACTTCTCTGTGTGGACTCCCACGTCGGTTTGATGAGGTGCCCCCCGGTTGCCTTTGTACTTCCATGGATGCAAACGATTTTCTTCACCGTGAATGACCCCTTGTTTTCCTCTTCTGATTCCTATGCACATACACGGAAGTATTGAAAAAAATACAATAGCTGATGCTGCTATTTTCTAAGAAGCATATTGAAAACGTGCTTCAGCATGATGTATTACCCATGTTATTCCTCCAGTTCCTCCCGGAGCAGTTGGCATGATGGAAGCTAGAGGCACAGCACCAAAGTAATAACTGGAACCTGCAAAACCCCAACTTTGCTGAGTGTGTAAATGCAAATTGCTACGTTGTATAGTTAGATAGGATGGGCCTCCTGCCCTCCTCTTTTAATCAGTTCCTCTCATTCAGAGTTTAGGGTGTCTACTTCTACGGCAGATTTTGATACTGATGATAACTTATGTCCTGCAAAGATGGAAACCTATATGAAGTTTTCTGAATGAGGAGTTCCAGCAGAAGTTGTAACAGACTTCAGTTACCCGGAGAAGTGCTGGGGGATGCTCTGCGTTGGCCCAGCGTCTGCTGCCCAGGTGGGTGTTTTCCTGGTGTATAGTTAATGTGACAAATTCAGAAGCACCTTCTCTTCCTTCATCAAATAAAGAAGGCCTCCCAAACACACGCCTTTTCCCCCGGCAGCCAGACTAATGGAGAAATACCGTGCGTGCCTTTGAAGTCGTGATGCTTGAAAACCATGTTTTTCAGTGAACTTCAAAAAAAATTGATGCATTCTCCTCAGATTTGGCTGCCTCAGGGCAGGTGGACCTTTTCTGGGCTTTTTGCTGTCACATAGGGAGACAGGCTCTGGAACGTTTAAATGGCTGAAATGCTTACTCTGTCACAGGGACAGGCAACAATTTCAGTTTCTTACTGATGAATATAGTGACGTGGTTGGAAAGACTTTCTTGTCCTGTATTCCCAGGAGATTTCTTAAATAGATTCTCTCTCTGCTATTTTGACCATGTATGTGCTCAGCGACCTCCCCAGGCCTGGGGCCGTTTTCTGAACATTTTAGGTAAATACTTGTGCTTTTAATGAAATCCTTCTACTGCACATGTTGGAAATGAACCATTTCCTTCTTCCCTACCCTCAACCTCTAGTGCTTCTATCGTAACTTGCTTGTATCCAGAATTCCTCATTCTTGTGTTTACCATAGCAGAATTCCTCCTTCATCTCGGATATAAGGAGTTAGAGTGGGGAGGAGGGTGAGGGCTGAACTGCATGAGTCGTGCAAGGCTAAGACCTTGTGTGACTCAACCTGAAATTGGGATATTGCAAATGACCGCGTTTGCTTGCTGTCTCAGATGCACTGAGACAGTGCCGTGATCATTCCCATATGTTAACTGAAACCCAGGGTCCAGCTTCTTCTGGGCAGGAGACGGCAACTTATCTAAGCACCCATTTCCTTTCCACAGGTGGCCGTAGACACCTGTAACCCTGAAACGCTTGTGTCGAAGCAGCAGTACATTGAGCAAAATAAAGCATTGTTTAGCTTCACCATGTTCTTACTTAAAAGGATTTACTAAGTACATCTATATAAACTACATAGTAGGGTAAATTGGGTAAATATATCAATGTGGCTACTTCCTCTGGCAACTTATCCTCTAATATTTGTAAACTTCGATCAGTGCTGGTTGTAAATATCTCCCAGGTTTTATATTTGTCAGTGACTTTCTTTTTAAGGTAATCAAATTTTTTGACCTTTAAAAAAATGTGCATATTACGTAATTTGTCAAGTAGATATTAATGACTTGTTTATTTTTAAAATATTATATATAGTAAGAGTACGTTGCTTAAAATGCTGCTAGTTACTTATTGTTTTGGAAGGAGTAAATTACAAAATGGTAATTATATATGATTTTAATTTGTACTGTGTTTTAGTTTATTTTATTAAATTTTTTCATTTGCTGAGGAATATTCACCCTGGGCTAACATCTGTTGCCAATCTTCCTCTTTTTGTATGTGAGCCACTGCCACAGCATGGCCACTGACAGATGAGTGGTGTAGGTCTGTGCCCGGGAAGCGAACCTGGGCTGCCAAAGCGACGTGAGCCAAACTTCACCACTAGGCCACTGGGGCTGGCCCTGTACTGTATTTTAACATTTTCTCTTTTCTTGAGGCTGAAGAACAATTTAAACTGCTGAAACCATCTTTGATGTGGGCTGTGTCTAGATCAGGCAAGCATATCTCAGGAGAGTGGACCATAAATCGTAATACATCACAGACTCTAGATGGTGGTTTCTTTTCTTAGTGTGGCAGATTCACTCACATTTACCCTTTTAACTCTGGCTGCCATCCTGGGATCCTGAGGTCAGCATGTCTACTTGATGTGGCACGATCTTTAGAGACCTGAGCAGGCCCTGCCCTGGGTGTTGGCTTCTCTGCTGTGTCTGGCGCTGCTCCCTGCAGGCTCCTGAGCACGTGCTCACTGCACCTCTCCAGCATCCTTGTTGACGTGCTTGTGTCCTGGGCACAGCAGGAGTGGGAGAGGCCATCATGGGGGTGGGAGTGGGAAGGGAAGGTGGTGGTAAGTTTTTTACTTTTGTGTACGTTGTAGAAATAATCTCAGCTGGACCTTCTCTCTCTTTCTTAACGTTGGCTGTTTGCCATAGTCAGACAATTGTATGAAGAGCTTATCCTGTAGCTAAAGGTATAGATGTCACTTTTGGGGTGGAAAGTCTCATCCTTTTTGCTGGGGAACAGATTTCTGGATATCTTAAGGTATATTGTATCATTTCACATTGTCAGCGATTAGAGAAGTCAAAGGAAAGATCACTGGCTGCTGGGATAGATGGAAACTGAATCCACCATTCAGATTCATCAGACCCTTTGGTAGTGATAATCCATAAAGTAACCCATAAATTGGGATGCATTTTGTGGTCGGCTGTGGGTTTTCTATAGGACACCATGCACTACAGTACCTTATTTCAAAAGATTGGATATTGACTATTAAAACTGAACTACTTATGTGTCATTGTTCTAAAGACCATTGTGGATCTATTAAGCTCTTTTATCCCCCCTTGGATGAGCTTGTTTTGGGTCGTCAAGCTAACGCAGTACGATGGGCAGACGTGAGACGGTCCTGGAGCTGGTGCTGGTGGAGAATGAACTGTGCCCCATGTGGAAGTGTCTGGTAGCACTCGATGACACAGTAGCATCAGAGCAAGTGCAGGGCACACCTCCGGGCACTTTCAAGGTAGTGAGCACAAACCCCTGGGGGTGTGATTTATCTGTGTGCAAGGTGCACTTGTGGTGTGTATTGCTGATGTAGCAGGTGAAGTAAGAGGTTTTGTCAGGACTGGAAATGAGTATCAATTCCTAGGAGAAAATACATGATGTGTCAGATTCTGGTGTGCAATACTAGAGATGAAATGGAAGGCCGTCAGGATGTAAAGGGCTCCGTCAGGCACCTAGAGCATCACTGAAGCATCAGGAAGTCACAGAGCATCATCTAAGTGCTGGTTCACTGAACCTGCTCCCCGGAGCCCTGGGACTTCTGTAGATCTCCATCAGGGCTGTTGACTGAGGAACCGGGGCAGCTCCAGGTTCCTCCTCTCCTGGTCAACCAGAACTTCTGCTTCTGTCTGCCTTTGTATTTCCAGGTAATATTTCATTGAAAATTAGTCAAAAGCAGCTAATCCAAGGAACATATTATCTATTATCTATGTTAAACTTTCCTGATCACTCTTTATTCACTGTTTCTATTTCTCATATATATGTCCTTTTTCATTGTCCCCTGCTCCTTTCTGCATTGATCCTATGTCAGTGCTTGGGATCTTCCAAAAATGTCATTGTTGAGGGCTTCATGAATGGCCTGAGCCCTACACCTCTCACATCTCTATTTTTTGGCTGGATTAGTGACTTTTTCCTGGTTAGTCTATCAATACTTCTCCCTTTAACAGCAAAGCGTCAGAAATGCAAGCTTCAAGAACAAACATAAGGAAATATACTTGTATAAGGGATCCCAGATGACCAATTTCTTCATAGACTAGGAAGGAAGTTGAGCAGGGCCGTGGACACGTTCATCCTGAGGGCCGTCTTTGGGCTGCCGATTCTGATGGAGCCGCACCTACCAGGGCTCACCTCCTGTGAGTGGCCGGCCAGGCTCGTTACTTCTGAAAGGTTGTGACTCCATGGACGGCGGGGGACGGGAGGCTGGACTGTGGCTGGGCTGCATGGGGTCTCGTGGGCATGCTCCATCTGGTTGTGCAGAATGACCTTCCCCTGACCCACTCTCACCACGCATTGCAGCCACTTGTCTACCAGGATCTGAGCAGAGGACTGGCTTTCCACAATCCCTGGGCTACGGTTTTTTGTGAACTGTCGTGAATGAAGATGAAATATAGGTGGGAACTTTGGGTGCAGAACACAGTAAGTGATAGAAACAGAATCAGAATTTTAAATGGGTGTCTTGTCACTTAACTGACTATCGTAGGTATCGTCTGTTAAGGCATCCTTTTAAAAACAGCAAAGATGCAAGAAAGCACAGTGGGTGGGGGTCAAGTTAATTTTCAGCGGAAATCTTCTCCTATTGTTAGAGGGAAAAGAATCAGAGTAAACATGCTATTTTGGCACATTTTGTCAGGGCCACCTAACTTTGACTGTGAGAAAATATTGTTTAAAACCGGAAGCGTATCATTGTTTTCCTAGAGACTGTTGCTCATATGTAGATCCAGCGTAAGCAATAGATTTCAATGACACAGCTCAGGGTCAGGTAACAGGAGTTAATAGTATCTTCAGGCACTCGTGTCCTGTTATTTTCATAGCCTCACCGGCCCCACAGAGGAACTGTGCATGGAAGGCACTTACTGAGTAAATGAACAGATTCTTGGATTTGTAATATTTTTGAAATAGGCCTAGCAAGGTTAAAGAATTAAACTTAATATTTCTCTTGAAATTAAATAAGATTATAATTTAGGAATATTTTCAACCCGGACATGGATTGTAAATGTTATTTTCTAACAGTGAGTTTTTACTGCCATATATTTCATAAAGACTGAAGATTTGGCGAATGATAGAAATTCAAAGTTTTCTTGAAAATCGTTGGACAAATCTTTTAATTTCTCAAGTTGCCTCTGCCTGAGTGAGGAGGAGAGTAGTGGTGCATTGCAGAAAGAGTGGTGGACATTAGGATGCTTGAGGTGGTTGCATTCGGTGGGTGGTTGCTGTTGGAAATGCTGTCTTTGGCATGCTCGTATATACGGGAAGAGTTTGGAAAATTTGGATGACTCTCTGATCTGACTCTGTGCTTCCTGACCTGGGAGGTTTACAGCAGGTACTGACGCCCCAGCCTCCCCTGAGAGCAGTGGTTCTCGACCTATCAAGCACCAGAATCATCTCAAGAGGCTGTTAAAACTCAGATTGCCGGGCCTCACCTCAAGAATTTCTGATTCAGTAGATTTGGAGTGGAGACCCCAAAATACGCATTTCTAACAAACTCTTTGGTGATGTTGATGCTGCTCGTCCAGGGATCACATTTTGAGAACTAGGGACTGTGTTTTCAGAAATACTACCTGATCTAGTTAGTTTGAAAGTGGAGCCCAAGCATTTTTTTTTAAGGCCTCCAGGGGCATGAACAGAGCTGAGACCAACTCAAGTGGAGTACATGGCCCTTTGCAAGTCTGACCTTCTGTGGTTCTGTGAAAAAAATGTGCTTGTATGGGATCTAAATCATTCAGAGTTTTGTTTACATTGATCAGATTCATAAAATGTCTCTTCAATGATTCCATTACCCTAGCTAGAGAAATGTGTGTGTTTTCAAGAGCGTGAAAGAGTTTGATAACTTACATGTAAAGATTTCAGAGATTATCATAATTTTTCTTTCAAAAGAATGAAATAAAATAGCTTGGTGGAAAAGAGCATCTATACATACACTTTGTTCCCCGAAAATAGGGAGGAGTAAATATAGTATTCAAAGGTGTTACATGTGATTTTTTTGAACTTAATGTTTAAATTAAATATGTGCATGTCTTTCTCTGTGGCTGCTAATTTTTAACTCCATTACTATCTCTAAGAGATAAATGTAACTTACTCTGTGCTTAAAGTTTTTCAATCAAATATCTCCTGATAACAAAGTTAGTATGGATAAGGAAGAAAATCTATGCGTATTGTATTTTTATTTTATAATGTGATTGCTTAAGTGCTGCTATATAAATAATGCCGAGCCTTGATATTCATTCACCAGATGCTATTACAACTGTTCTCTAAAGTTTGTTTCTCCAAAATTTGTCTCATCATGTATAAATCTAGTATGAATATCATGTATAAGTTTAGCATGAATGCCAATAAACTTACAAAGCAAAAGCCGAAAATTAAGAGCTTAAATTAATCCACTTAGTACCAAATGTAGGCATTCTAGGTCACCCTGCCTCTATGTTCTACATGAAATCTAGTTGGAATTTGTGGTTTGAACCAGTATTCTTGAAGTGAAAATAAAATTTCTTCCTCAAAGTGTTATTATTTATGAGTGCTATTTTCAAACAAAGCGCTTTGCATCATTTCGTAAGGCATTTCCCTACAATAGGAACACAAAACAAAGTTGTTGAATTAAATTAGTTTCACTGTTACTGGGAGCCATCATGGAAAATATGGATGAATCATGTTGGTGGAAAATTGACACCTGTGTTTGTAAATGTATTCTCTTTCTCTTCCTCCTCCTTCTCTTTTTCTTTTTCTTCTTACTCTTTTTTTCCTTTTCTCTATTTTTAAAAAGAATAAATGTTTGT